TCTGACCTTTACATCATCTGTCTTGCTTTACCTAATTCAATACTCATTTTCACCTACTCCAGGGAATGATTACCCTTCTGCAGAGCTTACAATATCCTAATCAGATTTTTTTCCTTATTATTGACTCACACTAGTTTTGCCTTTAAATAATAAATTTTAGAGCTGCAAGAAATCTCAGAAGCTATTAGTCCAACTGCCTCATTTTACATAAGAGGAAACTAAGGCTCAGAGAGGCTTAAATGATTTGTGTATTGGGTTCACAGAATTTATTAAGCACTTACTATGTGCCAGGTACAGGGACTATGAATACAAATACAAGGAAACAGAAAGACAGTCTTGTCTCTGAGGAAGCTTACATTCTACAGGGTATGGGGTGGGTGGGGAGACAAAACATAAAAGGGAGCTGAAAAGTTTGATGGGGAGAAAAAGGTGCCTACTCTGGAGCATGGTGGAGTGCAAAATCAAGAGAGTCAGGAGGGAAGCTCAGAGAGGAATGAAAGAATGAACATGGCTGGTATATGTAAGGTGGATTTGTTATTCTTTTTCAGATAATAGTTCCCAGGATCACAGACACTAGTTCCCAGGATCCATGGTAATAAACAATTTCTACTGTGACTGCACAGTGAAATATAATGATGAGATTATGTAAACATTTGTGCTTAAGTTGTAAATACCAACTGCATCTGCACTATGCTGATTCATCATGATATTGCTAAAGTTAATGTAAACTTGTGAGGCTCTTGCTGGCAAATTGCCTTCTTTGTGTACTCCTCTATAAATCAAGAGAGCAGTGGTCAGTAAGTGGTGAATGTGACAATGTAATACTATGCTTGCCTCATCTGGTCCCCATTGAGGCTTAGGGGGAATGCACAAGCTGCAATGCTGTGTGTGCCTTGACTGGCCCCCATTGAGGGTTAGGTGATGCTGTAGGACTTGGAGCTCCTACTCTCTTCTCACTGGCCCCTGCAATAAAAGTAATTAAGGGAAGCTGTAGGAGTTGGTGCTCCCATTATCAGCAACTCCCATGAGAATAAAATAATTAAATAACCCCTCATTATGTCTCCATTCCTGTCGTTCTGACTGTCCAGATCAAGTGAACCTGTTAGAAGCTTGAGCCCCAAAGCACCGTGGTTCCTGTCTTACAGCTGCCTAAGGCATTTTCCTTAAATGGAGGCTACGGGAAAAAGGCACAGGGGAAAACGTATCTTCCAGAGTGTCAAGGCTTCTAGAGTGCAGTGAATTTCAGGGTGAGAAGACTACTGGTTATGGTGAAGAAAGAATTTTGGAGAGCCAGGAGTGGAGGGATGAAGAAGTGAACATATACAAAGCCCATTATTGACTCTATCTCCTGTCATTTTGCAAATAAGGAAACTGAGGTTCACCAAAGTTAAGTGACTTGCTTAGTGTGACACTATTAAGTATCTTAGGCTAATTAATGATGGAAACAAGATTGGAACTCAGGTTTCCTGGCTCCATCTCCATCACTCTAAATACCTAAATATTCCTTCTTTCCTTCCTTCCTTCCTTCCTTCCTTCCTTCCTTCCTTCCTTCCTTCTTTCTTTCTTTCTTTCTTTCTTTCTTTCTTTCTTTCTTTCTTTCTTTCTTTCTTTCTTTCTTTCTTTCTTTCTTTCTTTCTTTCTTTCTTTCTTTCTTTCTTTCTTTCTTTCTTTCTTTTCTTCCACAAAATGACTAATATGGAAATATGTTTTATATGACTGCTCATTTATACCATATTTCAGATTGTTTACCATCTCAGAGAGGGAGGAAAGGATAGAATTTGGAATTTAAAACTTAAAAAAAGTAAGGTTAACACTTTTAAATGTAATTGTGGGGAGATCAAATGTCAAAAAAAAAGAATTGTCTTGGATCTTTGCATTGTTGGAAATAGCTAAGTCATTCATAGCTGATTCTTACACAATATTGCTGTTTCCATGTACAATATTCTCCTGGTTCTGCTCACTTTGCTGTGCATGAGTTCACAGTCTTTCTAGGTTTTTCTGAAAGCACCTGCTCATCATTTCTTATAGCGCAATAGCATTCCATCACAATTATACACCACAACTTTTTTGGCCATTCCCTAATTGAGAGGCATACCCTCCATTTCCAAATCTTTGCCACCACAAAAAGAGCTGCTATAAATATTTTTGTACATATAGGCACTTTTCCTTTTCTTTTCTTTTTTAATCTATTTGGGATAAAGACCTAGTAGCGCTATCGTTGGATCACAGGGTATGCACAGTTTTATATCCCTTCAGGCATAGTTCCAAATTGCTCTCCAGAATGGTTGGATCAGTTCAGAACTCTACCCATAGTGCCTTAGTGTCCCAATTTTCCTACATCTCCTTAAATATTTCTCATTTTCTTTTTCTGTCATGTTAGCTAAATCGATAGGTATGAGGTGGTATCTCAGAATTGTTTTAATTTGCATTTCTCTAATCAATAATGATTTAGAGCATTTTTTCATATGACTGTAGATAACTTTTATTTCTTCATCTGAAAACTGCCTGTTTATCTCCTTTGACCATTTATCAATTGGGGAATGACTCATATTAATAAAAATTTGACTCAGTTCTCTATATTTGAGAGATGAAGCCTTTATCAGAGACACTTACTATAAAAATTCCCCCTCCCCCTCATTTTCATTGTTTTTTTTTTGTTTTTTTTGTTTTTTTCTTTTTTTGCTGAGGCAATTGGGGTTAAGTGACTTGTCCAGTGACACGTAGCTAGTGAGTGTTACGTGTCTCAGGCTGGATTTGAACTCAGGCTACTCCTGACTCCAGAACCAGTGCTCTATCAACTGTGCCATCTAACTGTCACTGCATTGGTTTTTTTGAGCAAAATCTTTTTAGTTCAATATAATATAAACTATTCCACACTCCCCCAGTTTGCTCATGGTATCACCTTTTAAGGCCAAACGCATTTTGACCTTATCGAAATGCATGGTATGAGGCATTGCTCTATACCTAGTTTCTGCCATACTGTTTTCCAGTTTTCCCAACAGTTTTTGTCAAATAGTGAGTTCTTGTCCCACAAGTCTGGATCTTTGCATTTATCAAACACAAGATTACTATGGTTGTTTTCAACTGTGTATTATGCATGTAATCTATTCCACTGATACACCACTAAATTTCTTAGCCACTACCAGATTGTTGTGATGATTGTTGCCTTGCAATACAAGTTGAGATCTGGTACACCTAGGCCACATTCCTTCACATTGTTTTCATTAATTCTTTTGATATTCTTGAACTTTTGTTCTTCCAGATGAATTTTGTTATTACTTTTTCTAGCCCTATACAATATTTTTGGTAGTTTGGTTGGTAAAGCGCTGAATAAGTATGTCAATTTGGCTAGAATTGTCTTTTTAAATATATTGGCTTTACCTACTCATGAACAATTGATATTTTCTCAGTTGTTTAGATCTGAATTTAATTATGTGAATAGTGTTTTGTAATTGTGTTCATATAGTTGGCTTTGTCTTGGCAGGTAGACTCTCAAGTATTTGAAATTGTCTACAGTTATTTTAAATGGAATTTCTCTTTCTATTCCTTACTGCTAGATTTTGTTGGTAATATATAGAAATGCTGATGATTTCTGTGGGTTTATTTTCTATCTGACAACTTTGTTAAAGTTGTTAATTATTTCAACTAGTTTTTTAGTTGATTCTCTTGGATTCTACAAGTACACCGTCTTATTATCTTCAAAAAGTGATTATTTTGTTCCTTCATTGCCTATTCTAATTCCTTCAATTTCTTGTTCTTGTCTTATTGCTATAGTTAGCATTTAAAATACAATACTGAATAATAGATGTAATAATAGGCATCCTTGCTTCACCCCTGATCTTACTGGGAAGGCTTCTAGCTTATCCACATTTTAGAAAATACTTGCTTTTGGTTTTAGATAAACACTACTTATCATTGGTATATTGTTTTATTAACTATTGCTGTTACTATGGCTTCTCAGTAAATGCCCTTTCTAAAAGCTAATAGTCCTACTGATTGAATGATATGAGAGGACACCCTGGACAGAGGCTCATGAACAACAATAGAAATTACCTTTAGACAACCTTTAGACAACCCTAGAAACTTGAGGGAAGAAGTAATGTTCTTTCCTCTGAGAAGCAAACCTGTCAGTGTCAAGTGAGTTTGGAGAGTGAGCTCCAGAGGGAATGTTACAGGTTTTTTGCCTATCCCCAGAACTTAGGAAAGTACCTGGTCCATAGCAAGAGTTTAATCTATGCTTGTTGATTAATTGATAGTAAGTACATGAGAAGTGGTTTTGATAGATTACAGAAAGAAGTTTTGAACTCAAGTTCTCTGAATCTAAATACATCACTTTTTATATATCACACTCTCTTGGTGGGAGTTTTGTATGAACTTTCCCAGCTTTGTGGCTGCCTGGGCTTGGAGTAGGAAGGGCAATGTATTTTCATTCAGTTATTATTTTGAGGATACCAATGAAATGCTCAGGCTGCCCATTTGTTATTTCTCTTTCTCACTATATGACTGAGCAACCTCCCCATTCTCTCCACCATATATATGCTTTATGTATTTTATGACATTACTCAATTGAAAGTCATCATCACTAGTAAATATGCCACATTGCACCTGTTAGGTGTATTTACATTATTCATTAGGTTATTTATAACCTTGATTCTTCCAGGATTGAGTTCCCAAGGATTCTTTTTTTTTTATTTTGGTGAGGCAATCAGGATTAAGTGACATAGCTAGTAAGTAGCATCAAGTATCTGAGGCCAAATTTAAACTTGGATCCTCCTAACTCTAAGGCCAGAGGTCTATCCACTGTGCCACCTTGCTGCCCCCTCTCCAAGAATTCTTAAACATAGATTTGGGAGGTGCATAGAAGCTAAAAAGCACATTTTGAGCCCCAAAGTGTATTCCTAGGAATTGTCCCAGAGAAAGACCCCACTTCAATATTGAATTTAAACATTGATTCTTTAAAAAGAAAAGAAAAGAAAAGATCCATTTCATGCTACAGGACAATATATTTTGAGCATTTGTCAGACAGAAGGTTACAGGAGGTATGGACTTTGTGCCTGGAGGGTCTCAGAAGCCACAGAAGTGGCACTTTGTAGTTTGAATCAGTGTGCCTAAGACTTGGCAGTGCTTTCAATAGAATGCAGATCCAAGGTAATGACCACATGGTTCCCAGCCCCTGCTGCTCTGAATTCCAAGGAAAGGGCAATCGCTTCAAGCCTTGACAAGTTCCATAGAGATGCAATGACCTTGGCAGCAACAGCCAGAAGAGGAGTTGGAGTTGTTAACCTGTATACTGTGAGACTTCACAGAGTGTAGAGGGATTAGTTTTATTTACAGCAATGTAAATACAGGACTCTTTTTGGAAAATTTCCATGCATTCATTTTGGTCATATATCGTTGGCCTCATCACCCTGTTGGTGGAAGCAAATTAGGCAAAGATTAGGGTAGTCTGTGGCAACTGATGAATAGTTTATTAAGATTCTTACCCTTGTTCCAGACAGCCTCTGATCATGTATCACCTGTCCTCCCCAGTCACCTAATGAGCCATCTCAATCTACTCACAAGTATAGATGGAGAACACATTAGGTCCTAGGTGCTTGTTAGCTTGCACTAAACCCAAGGTCACATAGCTAATAAGTTTATGATCTTGGATTTAGATAGAAAAGAATAACAGATCCTAGATTTCAAACAGGAAGGAACATCATGAGTTACCAAATCCAAACCCCTCTTCTTTTAACAGATAAGAAAACTGAAGCTGAGACTGGTGAAGTGACTTGCCCAAGGTTATACAGATAATTAGATTGTGAGCTGAGATTTCAATATAAAAATATTATACACCTTAGATTTCAAACTGGGGGGGGGGACTTTTGAAGTTATCAAGGTCAAAATCTTTCTTTTTCAATGGATGAGGAAACAGAGGCTCACAAAAGTCAAATGACCCTCCCAGGGTCACACAGATAACATGTATGTGTCTGAGGAAGATTTTGAACTCAGGTCTTCCATACACCAAGCTCAATGATCCATGCAGTGTTTCCACTAGAGAAGTTAAAAGTCTTGTTCTACTCTTTTCTGATTGGATCACATCCAGAATATCATGTCCACTTTAGGGAGTAACCTTCTAGGAAGGAAATTGATCATCTGGGGCACATTCACAGGATAACAAAAAGGGAGAAAATGAAAAACAGCGTCATGAAAGGATCAATACAGGAATCATTGCCTGAAGAAGGGAACCTTCTGTTATGGTGAAGAGGGAATAGACTTTCTTAGCTTGCTCGGCCTTAAGGGGCAGAGCTGAGAGCTGAGGATGGAGGATGGAAGGATGATGATGTTGGCATAGACTACTTCCTGACTATGGGTACAGTCATACAGTGAGAGGTGGTAGCCTGTTGCCAATACGGTTGAGTAGAAGGCAGTAGCCAGGAGAGGGACACTGTGACAATGCACTTTCGGTATGGCAGTATGGAGCAATTGGCAGTTTATAAATGAGATAAAAAAATGACATATCTGTGATCTAATGGCCACTGGAGGCTCCAGGGATGGAACTGTCTCTACCAAGGTTGATGAATCCTCTGCTACTTTTAGAACTAGAGAGGTAAGTGGAAGATAGACAACTAGGATATATGAGAGGTAGGAGTTGGACTCAGCCTCCTGACTCAGCACCACTCCCTGTACATCACATCATACTGCCTCTCTACAGGGAGGCTGGGAAGAGTCTGTTTTTTAATTAAGTGCAATGGGAGGAAAGCTTTCTAACCATGAGAACTCTTCAGAAGGAGAAGGAGCTGCCCTTACTGACAGCCTTCAAATGATGTCCCATTGGGCATGTGTTGAGTAGGGGTTTCTGGTTCCCTGATGGGGTCTATTTCATAGCCCTTGGGGTCACTTCCAGCTCAAAGATTCTGTCATTTTACATCTGTTTATTTAGGGCCAGCCTTGAACTCACATGGTGCAGCAGACTAGTCCAATATTTTCTTCACATGAACAGTGTATACAATCAGATTCCCATTGAGTGCTGAAATCATGCATTACACCCTTAGAATCCCTGCAACCTAAGGCAGAACATATGATAAATCTTTTGTTAAATTGCAATTGATGCCTCTAGATCAGATTTCACCAAGACCTTAAGGTCACCTTGAATGGTACCACACTTAACCATCCTAACAATGAAAAATCTGGACCACTTTTAAAGACCTCTGGTAGAGATTCTACTATTTCCCTTGGCAATCTCTTCCTCCAATGCTTCACAACCTTTTTAGTCAAGAACAGCCCTTAAGTCATTCCCCAACCATCATAGTGGTAATCGGAAACATCCAATATGTTACTTTGAAAAATATGTGTTCACAGATCAGTAGTTGGACATAAGTTCCATGAAGGCAGGAATTCTTTTAGTTTCTTTTCTTTCCATCTTAATTTTCTTTCCGTGATTAATTTTTCCTTAGTAGCTGCAACCTTTTGCACACAGTAGATGTTAATAGATGCTTGATGAATTGAGTGACTACGTAGATAGGTGCTTGAGACAAAGAGGCACAGATGATTTACCCAGCATCGCAAAGCTAGTCAACTGCCAACGGCGGGATTTAAACTCATATCTTCCTAATGTCAATCCTAGCTCTCTAACCACTAATGCATGTTGCCCCTCAGAAACATATCTTATGTAGATAACAAGGACTGACTCTTAATTATGTGATAGAAGGGAGATGGTGGGGGAAGGACTTTACATGTATGTTTAGACAGCTGCCTCTTTTCTCCATCTGAGGTACATCTTTAGATTAAATCCACTTTTCCCACCTTTTGCCCACTGCTCCCATCCCATGGGTCTTGGCTCCAATGGCCACAGATAGGCTATTCAAGCTTATCCCAGTCACTTTTCCTGCTAAACAAATCCTCTTGTTTCTAGAGACAGGAAATAGTTGTAAATAAAGATTTACCTCTTGCTTGATACCCATCAATGATTTCCAAAGGATAAAATGTGCACTGAGCATCACAAAGTGTCACAAAGATAGCCAAAGCAAGGAGAACACCTAGCATGGTATTCTGTGTAAAAAAGAAAAGATAAAAATTAAAGATGATTGAGGAGGGAAAATGGCTAGAATTTTTGTTTTTTTTCAAGTTTTATAGCTGCTCTCCCATTTTATTTCACAGTCATTACCTGATATAGAGTTCCTTTTCCTGGCAATCTACCACAAAGTCAATGAGGGGACACAGTAGATAAAACAATGAACATGGAGTCAAGAAGATGAGTTTAATCTCACCTCAAGTGTTAACTGTGTGACCATGGACAAGCCACTTAGACTGTATGCCTCAGTTTCCTCATTTGTAAAATGGGGACGATGATAGCATCCCAGGATTGTTGTGAGGATCAAATGAGAGAATGTTGGAAAAGTGCTATATTACCTAAAATAGCCAAGCAAAACCAACCAACACAGTTAAACAATTATGCCAGGATCATGGATTTAGAGCTATAAAGGAACTTAGAGGTCAATGAGTCTGGCACCCTCATTTTACAGATGAGGAAACTGAGGCCTTGACAACAGCCTAACAAGACTCTGGCTCATTCAGAGACCACAACCTAGTGGCTGAGGCATGGTTCAAGCCTTTGTCATACTGACTCCAAATGTCCACTGCACCACTGTATATTTTGCCTTCTGTGTCCATAGTCACCCACTTTTCTGACAAGAGGAGACAAATATTGTGTGGCTCTGGGCAAGTCACTTTTTGCCTCTGCTTATCTCAGTTTCCTGCATTGAAAATGGAGGTAACAGCATCTACTTCCCAGGGTGGTTGTGAGGATAAAATGAGATAATAATTGGAAAGCACTTAGCACAGTGCCTGGCACATAGTGGATACAGTATAGATACTAACTATTCTTACTGCACAGACCATATTGCATAATAGCATGTTAATGCTATTCTTAGTATTCATAAATACATTTTGTCTCCTATCTTTTAGAAACAAAATTGCTTATTGCGTTCCATCTGAGTTCAGAAGCTTTTTTTTTCATTCTTTTTCCATTTACATCATTATATTAATTTTGTACCTTGTCCCTGAGCCTGCTTTCTTCACTCTGCATGAGTTCATTCAGGTCTTTACATGTTTCTGTGATTTCTTCATATTTGTCATTTCTTAAAGGACCATAACGCTCCCTTCTATTCATATGCTATCATTTGTTAAGTGAAATCCAAGACTGAATTTTTGTACCTGGGACAAATTCATTTGGAAGGGAAAGAGCTTTTGGAGAGTAGTGGGGAAATTGACAGGGATGATGATGGCATAGACTACTTCCTGACTATGGGTGCAGTCATACAGTGAGAGGTGGTAGCCTGTTGCTGATACAGTTGAGTAGAAGGCAGTAGCTGGAGAGGGACACTGTGACAATGCACTTTGGTGTGTCAGTATGGAGACAATTGGCAGTTTATAATTGAGATAAAAAATGACATATCTGTGATCTAATGGCCAGTGGAGGCTCCAGGGATGGAACTGTCTCTACCAAGGTTGATGAATCCTCTGCCACTTTTAGAACTAGAGAGGTAAGTGGAAGATAGACAACTAGGATATATGAGAGGTAGGACTTGAACTCTGAGCCTCCTGACTCAGTACTGCTCCCTGTCCATCACATCATACTGCCTCTCTACAGGGAGCCCATGAGGATATCCAACAAGCAGCCCCATTGAGGACTTGACAACTTTCTGGAGAAACCCAAATCCCTACCTCATGAAAACCCAGTTATATATCTTCTTTTCCCTTCTAAGATGGAACCTATTACTTACCATTGTGTCTTACCAGCCTCTCTCTTGCAGAAGACCGTTGCTCTTGAAGAAAACCAGGTCAAGACTCTTTCTCTATCTCTGTGTATATAGTAGAGGAAAATTGCAATGATTTTGCAATAATAGCCAAGAGGAAATAGAACACATAAAAATAAATGACAAATACCAGAGGGCAGGTTGCTAACTGGAAAGATTGATGCAATATGAATTATTAAATGTATGCTAGAGTAGATCTCCATCCCACTTAAATAACCTTGTACTAGCTCTGCAAGAATATTAAAATATAAGTATTATCTCATTGGATCAGAGAGATGGTCCTGTGTGGTCTAGGATTCTGGCTCTGGCAATGCCATGAAGGAATGTTTTGTGAGAACTTGGTCATTCTCCATGATATGTACCTCAACAAGTTAGGGGCATCTCCTCAAATATTCTGAACTTCTCCCTAATAATCCACTATTGGTTCCAAAGAAAAGGTTCCCTAGATGCAGTTTCCCATCTCCTGCCTTCAAACCTTTGTGTGAGGCTCTTGTCCCCCACCTCTGCATGAAATGCTTTCCCTTCTCACCTCGATCTCTGGAAATCCTTCCCCTCCTTTCAAAGGTCAGAGGTGTCCCTTTCTTCTGGAAGCATTTCATGATTCCCTCCTGTATTAGTGTGAATGGATGTATTTTTATGTTTCCACTATTCCCCTTAGTAGGCTATCAGCTCATTGAGGGGAGGCACTGTCTCACTTTAGTCTCATTTTAGGTTACAGCTGCTTATGAGGCAGTTAGTGGGATATGAATAAAGTGCTAAGTCTGGAAGATCTGAGTTCAAATTTGGCCTCAGGCAAATGATGTGTGACTGTGGCCAAATCACTTAACCTTTGTGTGTTCAGTTTCCCAAACTCTAAAATGGAGTTAATAATTGTCCCTACCTCATAAGATTTTTATGGGAATCAAATGAGATAATGTTAATAAAAACGGTTTCACATAGTACCTGTCAGGTACTAGTTGCTATACAAATGCTTATTTCCTTCCCTACTCCCTGCTTCCCAGTAGGACAATTCACTAGGAGCAGGGCTCAGTGGGAATGGGGCCAGGACAGCAAGTTTGTATATCAGGAAAAGTCCCAGAGCTGGCTTTGGTTGGGTCACCATAGTTGAGTTGCCTGGGCAGCAGATGTCAAGTGGGACTTCAGGGGAGGGAGGAGGCAGAGAGAGGCTATGATGACAGATGGAGGCAGAGACAAGTGTCATTTAGGTCACAGGTTAGGATAGGGCTGACCCTGTCTGTGCCCTCTTTGATTTGAATTGTTCCACCTCTCCAATGAGCATTTTAGGCCCAACATCTGTTGACAGTTTTGGCTGCAGTAGAAAACTGGGCCAACATCCACAGCATCAGGGTTGACAATGACCTCGTTTCCTTTCCTGGCTGTCAGCTAATTTCAGAGTAAATCATGGTTTGGTGAGGAGGTACCAGGAAGGAAAGATCATAATTCAGGCAGTGTATTACTCCCAGGCATGTCAGTGTGTGTGTGGCTCCTCACTCTTCAGTCCCATAGATGTGCCTCACGGGCTTGGGCAGTGCATCCCCATCAAGATCCCGCACCTCCTGGGTCACTGTCTTTACAGCTGATTGTTGTTGCTGGGCTAATTCACATACCTGAGTGGGAGGGGGCCCTGAGGAGTTACTCATCTAGCAGGTGGTCTGGACTGAGACCGACCTGCTCCATCACAAGAACATTGTGACTAGGAAAGTTTGCTAAACTTACACCCCTGGATTAGATGAAGTTTGCTAACCTCACATCCTAACTCTAAGTGTAGTCAATCAAGGCAAAACTTCCCAGGTCAATCAGTTGTCAGAGAGACAGTTCAATCAGTAATCAAACATGGAGTCCCATTGTCCAGCTAGGGGCCAGAAATAGGCTAACCCTCATAGTATTTCTTGAGATATGCATGATAAAGGGACATAAACTCATGTCACATGAGAACCCACTGCAAGAATTGATAGTGTTTAATCTGAAGGAGAAGGGAGGACATCATTGCTCTTTATGTATTTGAATGTGATGCTAAATGGAAGAGGGATTAGTAATCTAATTAGTAATCATTAGACTTTTTCTGATTAGCCACAGATGTCAGAACTAGGAGCAGTGAGCAGAAGGTGGAGAGAGGCAGAGTTAAGCTCAATGAAAGAAAAATTTACTAATACTTAGAGCTGTCCCAACATGGATTGGGCTGGCCAGACTGGGGGTGAGCTCCTTCTCACTGGAGGCTGGATAGAGAGGATGTTTAGAGCACATTTCTGCTCAGGGACACATGGAACAAGATGGCTTCTGAGGTCCCTTCCACCTCGGGGACTTTGAGCACTCTCTAAATTTTGTGTCTTCATTTTAAAGTCAGATTTTCTGAAAAATGAGAGAGGAGGAATCTTTTCCATGAATTCATCTTGAAAGCTGATTGTTTTTCTCTTTTGAACCCGCAAATAAATGAATAATTTCAGACATAACCATTTTATACTGCTCCAGTATGTTCAATATGTGACTTTAAACCTACAAGTCAGATACCTTTCTGTAATGATGCCAGGACTCCCTCCCTGGCAGCTTTAATCTTAGGGTAAGCCTGCTGATGGTTTCATGAGAACAGTCAGTTCCCCTGGTGTGCTGAGCACAAGCACTCATACTCAAGATTTCTGACTCATTCATTCACTCAGCAAATATTTATTGAGTGCCTATATGAGTGTTTTTCCATTAGACAAGCTATCCTGCCACTGCTGTTCTCATGACCAATTTTAATGTTTATTTCATATTATTAATAATTTCTCCATCCCTTTCTTAAATTTATCCAATCAACAAAACAGTAAATCCAGTCCTGCTTTGTACTTTTTGTGATTTCCAATGTATAAATGCTCATACTGAAAAGTTAACAATCAGCTCTTAGGAGTTTGTTCAAGCTGACTCCAGCACAACCCTGTCTTCATGCCCCAATGTGACATCAAAATTGGATGTCTGTAGAGGCCTTCCCTCAATCAATAAGAATTCAGTGAGTCTCATCCATGGGTCTTGCTGGCTCTGTATTAGATAGAATGTGGGCTAGGGGACAGGAACTGATTTCATTGGAATAGGGAACTCTCAGGTGAGGAAACTGCCTGTATTAATGCAGCTAAGCTCCTATATATTGTCCTATTAAGGGGCTTAGTGCACTGAGAGGTCACAGAACCAGTACATCTTAAACACCGAACTTGAACCACATTTTCCTGGCTTTACCCACTGTACTATGCTACCTCACAGAATGAGGGATGTAGCACTAGGAGACATGGTCCTTACTGACCTTCTAGCGAGGCAAACAAGAATAATCATTACAACTGTGCATAGTAGGAAGGCACCTGAATGAAGAGCCATGGGAAATGCACTGGGCCAACACTTAATAAGTCATCCTACCCCAGTCACATCATTTCCTTTTTAATAGCAGTTCTAGCCTGGTATGGCAGGGAAATATGGCACACCCAGTGCATTTGGATTTTGGGAAGATATTTGACAAAGTCTATTATATTTACAATTGAGTGAATGATTACAGTCTCAGTCTTATGGGACAGAATGCAAGTTCTAGAGATGTTCAAGAGGAAGGGAGTTCAGTGAAAGGTGATTGGGCTCCCTTTCTTAGAACCTCACAAAAAGATTGCTCCCCTAATAAAAAACCATTCTTCTATATCCTTGCTAGAGGACAGCACTAGCAGCTTTTAGCCAATGAAGGGTAATGAAGAAATGTCTGTGCTTTCTCAACAAGGAGTCACTAGGCATGAACAGATTCTCCAGAGAATGATCTTTTCCATGGCTTAGAAGCTCATTGAGCTGATAGGGCAACCAGGTATGGTGAGGCACACCTATAATCCCTGTTAACAAGGAGAGTGGTGAATTGCTTGACCTTGAGAGTTCTTAGCTGCAATTGGGCTAAAGCTGATTGGGTGCCTGCTCTAAGCCCAGCATCAGTTTAGTGAGCTTCTGGTAGTGAGGGGCCACCAGAATGCCTAAGGAGAGGCAAGCCAGCCAAGGTGGGAAATTAAGCAGGTCAGAGCTTCTATTCCCTTCAGCACTAGGATCGGGCCCATATGTGGCTGCTACACTTCTAGTCTGAGTGCAATAGGGAGACCTAATCTCAAAACTAAAAATAAATAAAAAGTTGATAAGGGAGTTGAAGTGCATGCATAGGGACAGCCTCTAGGATCCAGAGAGTTCAATGTGTCAAGAACCAATGATAAGTAGGTGAATGACTGAAAGTACCAGTAGAGTGGGAGTCTAGGTAGAGGCTAGGTAACTGGCATGGGGCGCCAATAGCAAGAATGCAGTTGGATCCTGAAGGCAACCTATTGCCCACTATCCTGGATGCTTTTTGTTTATCTACACACTCTCTTGTTGACTTTTGGATTCCTCTGACTACTACCTGGAAAATTACTCATCTGCTCTTAGGGTATTCAACTGAATCCTTCATCCCAGTTCCATACCTCATTCCAACACCCTACCTTTTACCCAAGTCCTAGAATGATTATATAATGAACACATCAAACCTCAACTGAGAAAATGATGCCATAAACATTATTCCCACCAGTTAAACTGAAAGCTGGTTCACTTTCAGATAGACATATAGTGAAGTGAACAGAACCAGGAGAACAGTAATAGCAATATTGTTCAATGAAGAACTGTGACTGATTTAGCTATTCTCAGCAATACAGTGATCCAAGACAATCCCAAAGGATTAATGATGAAGCATATTATCTGTCTCCAGAGAAAGAACTGATATTGTTTGAATACAGACTGAAGCATGCTATTTTTCACTCTTTTTTTATTCGAGTCTTCTTATACAAAATGACTAATATGGAAATGTTTTACATGTATAACCTATATCTGATTATATATCATCTCAGGGAGGGGGGAAGGAAGGAAAAGAGAGAGGCATGGAATTTGGAACTAAAACCTTTAAATAAAAATGTAAAAAAAGCACATAAAACCTGAAGGTGTTGTTCAATAATGATCAATTTAGAAATTGGATAAAGACCCATGGATGAACACAGACTATCAAGCAATAAGCCTTTATTAAACACCTTCTATATACCAGGCACTTGCAAGGTTCTGGGTCTACAGATACAAAAAAGTGAGACATGCAAAAATTCAAAGTAATAGGAAGGGGTGGGGAATGAGTAACTAGGAGAGGCAGGAAATGAGATGTATGAACTGAACCTTGAAGGAAGCTGGGTATTTTATTTACATATACATGTATGCATTTGACACACACACACACACATATAATTATATGTAACAGCATATAATTACATATAATATAACATTATTGTAGAATATAATCATATATGTATTATCTATTTTATATATAACATTTAAGATATCTATCTATCTATCTAGTTTATACATAATTGTTTGCATGTTGTCTCTCCTATTAGACTGTGACCTCTTTGAGAGCAATGATTATGGGGGTAAGGCATGGATATATGTATATCCGTATATGTAGGCAAATTGTAGACATATTTGGCCTATGTATATATGTATACATGACTAAGAGGGAGGACCTCCTCACCCCATGATTGTCACAGGACAATCTATTTCCTTTACCTTTATAGAGATGGACAATGGAGGCATCCTTGAACTCTTGGGTGAGATCCTCAACTTGCCATATAACCTGGAAAATTTCAGGCAGCCTTTGTATGAGCAATGGATCCCCAACCTTGTAAATCTCAGCTGGAATAGAATCAGCACCAGGTGATTTACCACACAAAAGTAGCCTAATGGCTTTCAAAACCTCTTCTTCAATTGGAACTTAAGACTTCAAACTGAGGTAAATGATCAATACTTTCAGCATTGATTGATGACAATCTATCTGTTGAGAACAGTATGAAAATGTTCAGTCCATCTCTCTAGGATCATATTCTTATCACTAATCAATGTGGCTCCATCAGCACTGAGTAGCTGAGATGCACCATAGGTCTTTGGTACAGAAATAGCCTTCAGGGCATCATAAAATCACTTCGGATTATTACTGTCAGCATAAAACTGAATTTCATCTACCTTCTTACTGAGCCAAGAATCCTGCATCTCTTTAAGCTTCACTTGTGCTTTACTTTACATTGAATTAAATGCTGCCTTCTTAGAGGTGGATGCACTATCCTGCTGGTAAACTCTGGGGAGTTCTTGTTTTTCATTTAGCAACTTCTGGATTTCCCCATCGCCTTCATCAAACCAGTCTTGATGTTTGTGAGTGTCCAGAACCAGATGAGCTAATGCAGGGCTGTATACCAAATCTCTGAAAGCTGCTCTCTCCTTTTCTGCTTTACTCTCGCCAACTGTGTGTTGGCTCAACTTTCCCTTCATGTTAGCAAAAAACTATTCCCACTCAGAGGAACATGCTAATGTGCTGACATCGATTCTTCTGGTATGATTGTTGCTATTGGGGCCACTGCTTTTTTTTTCTTGGTGAGGCAATTGGGGTTAGGTGACTTGCCCAGGGTCACACAGCTAGTAAATGTCAAGTGTCTGAGACCAGATTTGAACTCAGGTCCTCCTGACCCCAAAGCCAGAGCTCTATCCACTGCACCATCTAGGTAGTCCTCCACTGCTTTTTTTGAATGCGAATATTTAGCTTGGAGAGATCAGTCCAGTACTCTGTGCCACACATTGCCTTCATTTCTCTCACATCCTGTCTGTCTCTTCTCCTTACAATGACATGGTCCATTAAATGCCAATGTTTGCTGTGAGGGTGCATCCACTATGTTTTATCACATCATGATGGTCAGAAAAAGCGATACAAAGACACTGTCAAAGTCTCTGTTAAGAACTTCAGAATTGATTGTGTGACATGGGAGACACTGGCACTAGACCACCATGCATGATGTGCCCCTGTGCTCTATGAGCAAAGCAGAATTGAAGTAGCTCAAAATAAACATGAGATGTGCAAATTTAGAGAATCAACTCCAAATGTTCACATTAACTATTTGTGCCCAACCTGTGGTAAAGCATTCTGAGCTTATATTGGTCTGATCAGCCACAATTGGACACACTGTAACTTGATTCTAACATAGTGATGTCATTTTTGTCTTCTTCAAGAATGAAGGATAATAACCATATGTGTATATGCATGTATTGTGTGTAAATATACAATACACACTACATATACACACATACATACAACATATACACATATCTCCATCTCTATCTATCTAGGGTAATTTGGAGATGAACAATAGAAAGAAGGCACTAATATTAAGGGGATTGTCAGTGGACTGAAATGATAGTATATAATACGT